GCTTTTGACTTCCAACATTATTAGCCTTTCTTCATAGGCAGAGCTTGACAAGTTTATACAGACTTCAAGGAGACTTACAAAGCTCAGTCTGAAAAATACAGTATTTTAAAATACGATGGTAAAAGGTAGAATTCAGTATTGTAAGGGTTTCACTCAATTCCTCAACTAGCAAAAACAAGGTAAGTAAAATACCAGAATTCAGGGTAAGAGCAACACATTCAGAATAAAAGATGTCTGTAATTAGTTTCATAAATGGAGATGAATATGGCATGGTAGGGTGGAAACAGCTGGAAAATGGCAGCAGCATGCTCAGAACAACTGAAGGCAAAAGGCTAGAGATGTAAGTATTGGCTACCACAGTTTTTGTCAGACACATTAGTTCTCACTGAGTTGGAATGTGAGGATCAGTGGACAAATTTCTAATTTCATGCTCATATTCCTGCAAACCTCATGAACTTCAGAGGAACTGTACACCCATGGCAGCAATAAATTAATTAAAACCTGGAGTTCAAGCTGTAAATACTGTATTATAGAATGATTAATGGCTTAATTTTTAATTTTGAGTTCATAAATACCTACGTGTTTCATGAAGTGGATGATGTTTCATCAGTGCTTCGTGCACGTTGTGCATCTGAGTTTTTTTAACCTGTTTTTTTTAATGAAATGTGACTGATGCAGTCATGCTGTCTGTATCATTCTCACTTATAGTGGCTTTTGAACTTGGTGGCACATTTTAGCAACATTTAACAGAGAGATAGAAATCTCAAAGCAGCTTAATCATTAGAACTTTCATGTATGTAGAAAGCTGGGTAAAGGAAAAAGATTGTATTCCTCCTTCTACTGAGAGGCACATAGTGTCTTTTGCATACCAAAGAATCCATATGAACACGGAGCCTTAAGACACAAGTCTGTACCTGACTGTGTTGGGTTTGCATGGTAAGGTTTTGGTAGTGGGCGATGCTACAGGGGTGGCTTTTGTGAGAAGCTGCCCGAAGCTTCCCCCATGTCCAATAAAGCCAATGCCAGCCGTCTCCAAGAGGGGCCTGCTGCTGGCCAAGGCCAAGTAAGGCACTAAAAGGCAATGGAAGTGTGCTGTTTGGTTTGAGCTGGGGTTTACACTAGTGCTGTTCTACAGCATGGCTGTGAAATGCAAGCATTGGGCAAGGATGTGAAAGCAGGGAAGAGTACTAAAATTGCCTGCAGTTCTCAGTGTGGCTGCACAAGAGGAATTGGAGGTTTTGTGGTGAAAGTTCAATACTGTGAAGTTACAATGCCTTTCAGGAAAAGAAGGGAGAAACAAAAGATTTTATCACCAGGTCCTTGAATATGCACAAGATATGGGTATACTTTAAAAAAAGAAAAAAAGAATAATGTTGAGACTTGCTGTCTTCAACTAAGGCAGATGTTTACTTCCTAGACACTTCCCTTAACTGATCTTAATATATGTGTTAGATGCAGAAAAGTTGCTTCTCCTCTTTCCAGCAAATACGGATTTCCCCATCCTCTCTCCAGCCTGACCATGGGATTCAACAAAACAGCTGCTGACTACCCTTTGCCTGTTGGCCTGCCCCTGAATTGCCTGGCTGCCCTACATGGGCAGGAATGCAGAAAAGTAAAGAATTCCTGGTTTAAGGTTAACTTCTAATTATCTTAAAAGTCAAATACAATTAAGTGAGGGATTGGCAAAAGGGAGACTGTCAGGTTCTGTATCCAGCATTGAAGCTGGAGGGGTCAGACAGCAAGACTAACCCATTTTTCAGTTGATCCCTGTCTGTTTTAAGAGGAAGTACAAGTAAAGCAGCTGTGCTTTAGGAAGCAATTGGGCAAATGCTGTCCTTGGAAGGTGCTGGAGAGGAGCCAGCTATGCTTTAGCTGCTGTTTCCTTTACCCTGTAGCAGTACTGGTAAGACCTGCAGTGCCTGGATGCAGAGGGGTGCAGTGAGCCCAGGTGCAGGCGTATGAGGCGACTGAATCACAGCTCTGGAGTCCCATCAGGGTGAGGTGGTGCCCAGCCTGTGGGGCAGGACACGGGCACGAGAGTGAGAAGTCCTGTTTTTCCACATGTAATGAAGCTGGAGAAGCACCATGCTGCAGTGTCTCCAGCTTTCTGTCTGGTAAAAAGGTATGTATCCTTTTGTATCTGTAATACAGCAATGTCCTGATTGTAAGGGACAAATACTAGAGTGCTCCAGACTTCACTTAAAGCGAATAGGCTATGGAAGTGGAGCTATTTTGTCTGAGGATAATACTTGACATTTCTCTTTTTCCTCATGGCATTTGTGTGTGCTCTGGGCCCTTGTCTGGGAGGGGCTAAACTGTGCGTTAAAAGGCAGTAAGTACTGGTCTAACAACCGAGATAGAGGCAAGTAGATTAAAAAAAAAGGAAGGGGGGAATTTGTTCTTTTCTGGTTTGTTTGAAAACAAACTTTGAGAGAGACCAGATGAAGAGAATAACTGATCTTGGAAGAAGAACATGTTGTTGAATGTTTGGCAGTACTTAATAGAATGTGCCAGTGGAACAGATAAATGAGCCCATTGCTGTGTTAGGGACTCAAGCACCGAATACCATGGCTGCCTCCCCATACGGTACATGTGAATGATGGCACAGTGTTTTGGCTGTATGACACAGCTATAACCTCCAAGCTTTTGGGAGGGGAGAGGAAGGAGGGCTCCACTTGTTTATTTTTAAACACAAGTCTCTGCTTCCCAACAGTTGTTCTTAAAATAATTTATTAGTGGAAGAAATGTTTCTTCCATTATTAATTATAGAATCATAGAATAGTTACAGTTGGAAAGGACCTTAAGATCATCAAGTTCCAACCCCTCTGCCATGGGCAGGGACACCTCACACTAAACCATGTCGCCCAAGGCTTTGTCCAGCCTGGCCTTGAACACCACCAGAGATGGAGCATTCACAACTTCCTTGGGTAACCCATTCCAGTGCCTCACCACCCTCACAGTTAAAGAACTTCCTCCTTATATCCAATCTCAACTTCTCCTGTTTAAGTTTTAACCACTACAGTCCCTAATGAAGTCCCTCCACGGCATCCTTATAGGCTCCCTTCAGATACTGGAAGGCTGCTATGAGGTCTCCACGCAGCCTTCTCTTCTCCAGGCTGAACAGCCCCAACTTCCTCAGCCTGTCTTCATACAGGAGGTGCTCCAGTCCCGTGATCATCCTCGTGGCCCTCCTCTGGACTTGTTCCAACAGTTCCATGTCCTTCATATATTGAGGTACACCAGAACTGTACCCAGTACTCCAAGTGAGGTCTCATAAGAGCAAAAGGGCAGGATCACCTCTTACAGGAAAACATTTGCAGAATTCAGACTATTAATCACAAACTCCAATATTGGCTTATTCAACTTGCTTTGCTTTCTGTGGTAGGCATAGTACTGGCTATATTGAAACAGACCTTTTCTTTCCCCTCCATAATGTGCTTCTGAAGAGGGTAGATTACTAATGATACAAATAGATTTTAATTGTGCAAAAGTGAGACACTCTGTGCCTTGAAAGGCAATATCTGATTTGTAGACAAGACAGTAGAAAATAAGCTTTCACAAGTAAAATTGTTGTTGAGTTTTATAAATAATACCATACTGCAAGCAGGTGGCAAATGGAAATGGTTTGGTTTCTCACTTCTGGCAGGTGCTTTATTTTCGGGCATTGGGAACTTCTGTATCACCTTCAAATGTCTGGCTTGTCAAAAGTATTTGTTACTACCATCTACTGGTTGGTCTGGTCTTTTGCAACGCTTGTAAAAGCTGAGCCTAAACACTTGTTAGCAAACTTTTGCTTTGGCAGAAAATCGGGGTCATACTTTTATTTTTGGGATGAGGCATTGAGTCTGTGGTTTGGGTGAGACATTGAGGTTATGGTTTGGCAGCCTGGTTGGCCTAGTTGCAGGGATTCTTGTACCCAGAAGGTCAAAATGACCAATGCCAGATAACATGAGGTTTGTAATGAACTCAGTCTGGTGGTTTGGTAAATAGACTTTATTGGGCTGACTTTGTACTGGCAGGATTTATATTGGATGTGGCTTGTCTGTCTAAACGACTGTCACTTTCTGCTGGTTCAGACATTGCCTGTCTTTCTGCACCTGGTATAAATATGACACATGCTCAGAGCTGATATGGGGGAATCAAGTTTCTGCACATAAGCTCTTTACAGATCAAATTTGTACTGCTACATAGCCTAAGGTTTTTCTATTACTTTACTTTTCCCCCCATGCTATCTGGTATATTTGATCATGGAACTGTGGCTTGACAAAATGAGAAGTTACTAAACTTGCTTCATCATGGTTTTGGATGTAGGAATACCGAATTTCCATTTCCATGCCTAAGTGTTTGCCAGAGTGACACTCTTTGTGAGCAGCCGTGTTCTTTTCATCCCCAAATTCACTTTAGGATGAAAAGCCTGCTCCCCAGATGGACTGTTGTACTCTTCTAGTCAAAGCAAAGTCTCTGTAGCCCTCAGCAGCAGTCTCTCGGTGCTTATTTGAGAGAAGTATTTACAAAGTGGTTGCTTTGAAGGCAGGTCAGGAAAGCTTTTGTCAGTTTATGCTGCTCCAGAGGCTCAGCATGCCATTTACTGGGAAAGGGGGCAGCAACCTCAGAAAGCACAGCAATCACTGTGTGTAGCTTGTTCACCCATCGCAGCTCAACTCCTTCACTGCAAGTGCAGGGCTCTGTGTTCCTCCCAGCATTAAGTCCAATTATATGACCTTTGTTTGAAGAGTGGTGTGAGATTCATCTTCAGCAAAAAATAATCTTCTTAGTGGGCTGTAAATTGAAAATAATGATTCCTTCCTATTTTTGGAAGTGACTTGCACAATCAACAGTTTATTGTGTGAAGACCTGAATGAGGCAGGCTTGGAGAGCAGAGTGCTTATTGGGTTGGGTTCCTGTTGTTGAAGTTGCACGGACTGTTTCGGGGCTCTCTCTTTGCCCTTTCTTAGGGTTTGTAAATCCAGTCTCCATTTGATTCTTCTCTTTCTCTTTTAGGACAATTATTCTGAGTGACGGCCCTTGCAAACGCTTCTGAGTGGTTATCATGGGCTTCATTGCCTTTCTGAAGACCCAGTTCATAGTTCACCTCCTCATTGGGTTCGTCTTTGTTGTGAGTGGACTGATCATTAACTTCATTCAACTATGCACACTAGTCCTCTGGCCCATAAACAAGCAGTTTTATCGACGAGTAAACTGTCGCCTTGCTTATTCACTTTGGAGCCGTGAGTATGCTTGAAAGGGATGTGAACACTGGGGGTGGAGAGGGGAGTGGGTTTTGTTTCTATTTTTGTAAAGAAAAATGTGTGTATACATATGTATATGTATATACACAATGACACAGGGGAGAAAGAAGTGGTAAGTAGACTCTTTCAGAGCAGTTCAAAGCAGCCACCTTTTCTGAAATAGTGGGAAAACATACAGAAGTCAAGGGACTGGTGCATATTGTCACTCTTATTAAAAAAAGTGGGAGATAAAACTCTTCCCCAACACTGTCTTGACTGATAGGAATTGCTGTCTCAATATCATCTTCATCCAGCATCAGACCCTTTGCTAAGTGATGGGGAAGGGGGAATTCACAGAGACTGCTTCAGGAATTAAGCATACGTGCCATATTGACCACTTACTTATGAGCCCAAATCAGCTGTATGGTCTGCAGATTGAGATGTCTGTCTTAAAGTATCTAGTGAGTCGCCTCTATAGCTGAACTGCGTGACAACTTCAGAGTCCTCTTATACCCTACAGTGTCCTCCTCTGATGCCAGTATCTTCTCTTGTGAGCAATTTGTCACTCTTCCCCATTTGCCTGTGGGATGGCTCTACAGTGAGTGCAGCTGCTTTGCTCTTTTTTTTTTTCAGGCCTTTGCAAAACTTCCCTGTGGATGCCCTTTTTTCTTACACAACTTAACAGGGGATTGGTTTTCTGAAATGGATGTTTAGAAGGCTCCGTAGTCCAAATGTCACCTCCTGTTTCAGCAGTGAATCATCTAATCCATTTCCGTTCTCCATCTCCTCCCAGTATGCATGGCTACTTAGTGGTCAGCATCCAACTCCCACTTTGGGTAAATGAGTCACCTAAATGAGTATTTAAATTACAGTTGAGCAGTCCACTGACAGGCACCCACATTTCTTAAATCATGGATGTGAAGCACTATCAATGCAAACTCTCCAAATACCTAGTTCAGTTTATTTTTAAGCTTGTTCTCCTTGTCCTTTCTGTTCTTTTTGTCTTACCTATTGAGAATGTTGTGAGAAGCACAGGAGAAAGGAAATTAAATAGAGAGTGACAGGCAAACAGTCAGGAGAAGGAAGTATTGTGATGGAAGAACTTATAGGTATGGGATTTACTTTTTATTTGCTTGTAAAAATTTCTTAATGTGATTTTAAATAACCTAGAATCTGATCTCATTTTGAAAACTATTGTCGCATTGATAGTTCGGCTTTTCTGAGAAACTGAGCTGCTTGTGCCTGTAAGGTTTATAGGTTCATACACTTGATTTCTGCAAGTTAGAATTGTGCATGGAAAAAAAACATGTTTTAAATGCTGTTGTATCTTCTACACACAGGAAGTAACTTATACCACTGTTCAAAAAGGTTTGGAGAAGCTGAGTAGATTACTGGGTTGTACCTAGGGTAACCCCTCGTGTATAGCCTATTATAAATTAAATTATTGAGAAATTAAACTGTGAAAATTGCTGTAATAAATGTAATAGGGGATTGTAGAGTGCTGATGCTCTGTAATGGAAGAACTGACAGAATATGTGCTTCAATTGTGATTTATAATGAATTAAGCTGTGTAAATGCAGCAGTTCAAATGTTGCCATTCATAATGAAATATATTTCACTATGTGGAAGCCTTTTGGCAACGAACCTGTAGATTGGTGTTCTGTTCTAGATGCTGTGTTTTGCTCGTTTACCCCAAGCTGTCTAGTTTTCAGCTGAAGGTGTTCACGTCAGAGCTGTCTGTAATGGAAGCTGCTCTGCCTGTCCACCATGGGATTGATGTGCAGGGGTAGATATGCAGGTAATCGTCTATGTGGCTGTGTACTATAGCCAGCTGAAAACCAGGTTTTATTCTTACTGTCTCTCTTCTCAGATACATGAAGCACATCTTCAGAAGGAGGAGGAGATACTCTAGCCAGTGTTAGTGGCAGATGTTTGTGGAGAAAAGTGTCAGGCTCTGGCCTCAGTGTCAATAAACCCTTTGCAGCACATGTAGTTCGTAATGGGTAGTCTGTACTTCAAGCTCCCCTAGATCAGCTCTTTAAAGGTGACTCATACCTTTGGAGAGTGCAATGCATTGGGTTTTGTCTGATTGCAAAAATAATCTCGCAAATGTTAGTTAGTACTTTAAACCGCAAGGTGCACTGTGCCTCTTTGCTTTATTTCTGGGTGGCATGTGGGATCCCTGGATGAAGGACAAGGTTAGCTGTAGCAAGGTGTTGTTTGTCTCCTACAGGAGGTATCCCAAGCAATGCAAGTGTTCCCTTTGTTCAGAAGGATGGGCTTGCTGTAGCAAGGATTGCTGCCACACAAAATAGCTGTAACTCACACACTAAAAAAAAAGGAAATAAGCCTGCTCCTGGTTATAATTACATCATTTATCAGTACACTTGTAAAGGACAATCTGTTTCCTCTTATTAATTCTCTGGCTTATCAAGTCTCCTCTCTCAGTATGGACTCTGGCAAATCTCTCAGCAAAGCTTCCTCTGTTATTTTAAAGTGAATGGTACTAGAAATGCTCTGCAGAAAATCATCCACACCTGCAGGTTTTTTTTCTGATTTTGAAGAAACACACCCATTTTATTTTATTTAATATAAGAAAATGCAGCAACTGTAGTAGGTACTGGAGATGTTTCTCCTTAGTACATGGACAGCAATGGAAAGGGAAAATTGCTGAGTACGACACCGTGTTTGGTACCACTATTCCATTCTTCTGGCCACCAACTTGGTGGAAGAGCATACCTCTCAACTGAGGACACTCTTACTGTCCTGTTTCCCTTTTTATTGAGCCAGGATAACCAGAGCAAGGAAAGGTAAGTGATGACGTCATTTGCAAAGGAGTCAAAGCTGGAAAGCAATGATAGAAACCTCTAGTTTGGTATAAACCGTGATACTGTCTTTCCTCAGCTGTATTCCCAGTTGACTGGAGTTACACTCTCTTGATCATCAAGTTGCATAACTCTGTCATGCCCCCAAAAGAGTGAGTTGTGAAAATGATACAGGGGCTAACCTGGTAAATAAGTGGCCACACAGGGAATACAAGTGAAAAAAAGTAATGCTAGAGAAGCTATGTATCTTTGTCAGACCAGGATTTGTTTTCCCTATCGTTCACCTAAATATTGCGTTTGCCTTCTCCCTGATGTGGTGCAAAATTGGACCTGCTCTTGTTTAGTAGTATGGCTAGATTACCCTGCTGTGATCCTGCTCATCAGAAGCTCAGAAGCTGTTGTGTAGGGAGGCACTTCCTTATTTTGCAAAACCAGGGCCTCCCAACACGAAGTTGATATACCGCATGGCAGAACCTGACATAGAAAACGGAGCAGCGTTTTCCCTGCAAGTTTGTCGTAGTAATGAGACAAGATTTGGAACTTTTTAGCTGCCATAATTGTGCAGCCAAATCTTGATTGCATCCATATATCACTGTAATGAGAAAATGCCAATGACTACAGTTTGCATGGAAGCAAATCTTCCTACTGGAAGAATGAACTATTCTCATACTTTTTATAGTTGTCCCATGATAAAAGCAATGCCTTCCATCTGCCTCGTTGTGCTGAAATGAGAGAAATAGGCTAACCATAGCAACTACATTCAGTAGTGCTTGCTGAATTTAAGTGAAGGAGTTTTTAAGATGAAAAAGGGGAGATGGAAAATTAGAAGAGTGGGTAACAAGGGAAATATTCAGGGTAGAGTAAGAGAGATGCTGGGGTATTGAAAAGCTGGAGAAGACAGAGATGAAAGGGCTAATTCTTTCTCTGCAGTAAAAGAAAGACACAATTTACCATTCCTGTCTTTGCCCAGGTATTTTGATAAATTAGCTCACTTCTCTGGTGCTTCTGACTCTGTGTTGATGACCATAGTACAGAATGATTAGAATCCTCTGTTCTAATGTTAAAATCTGTTGCAGAAGATCTGTGGCACTGTATCCCTTTAAAAGGCCTTTATTAGTCTGTTTACCTCCATAGAACTTGTTTCATGTTGAGTAAAAGCATTAGGCTGCATCTATGCATAGTTTATATTCCACCTGGGAGAAACTGTACTCATTTAGTGGAGCAATCGACAGCTCAGCTGTCAGTTTTCAGGCACAAAGTTCAGGGTTTTTTTCCAATGATGATGAAATTTCACATTCATAATGCCCAAACTTGTCCCTGTTAAAAACTTGCTAAATTATCCGTAATGTATATATCTAGTGCCCTAAATACTGCTTAAGGATGGTGATGTGATTTGGTCTATACCTATCCAAGCTTTCACTTTGTGTCTGCTGGGTTGGATTGAAAAGGTGATAGTGTTGTTGGGAATTAGAGACTAGGCACTGAATGGGGCTGGAGAGGAAACACTGAATAGGTTTTTGTAAGCAGCACCCCTAACTCCTCTCTCCATCTTTGTCATGTTTGTTAGAGTTGGTAATGCTGCTAGAATGGTGGTCGGGCACAGAGTGCACCCTGTTCTCAGACGAGGCCACGGTGAACACCTTTGGGAAGGAACATGTCATCATTATCTTGAATCACAACTTTGAAATTGACTTCTTGTGCGGCTGGACTATGACAGAGCGCTTTGGAGTGCTAGGGGTATGTTGGGCCCTGAGCTTTCTCTTCATCTGGAATCAATTTAAAACTCCTCTCTATACAGTTTCTTTGCATTTGAATTTCCAGATATAATTCCATCAACTCTTTATCATCTTAACTTTAATGTCCTTGATCTCATTGTACAAATCAGCAAATGACATTTTTGGATTGTTGTTTTCTTTCTTTCCAAGAGTTCTAAAGTCCTTGCTAAGAGAGAGCTACTATATGTGCCCCTAATTGGCTGGACATGGTACTTCCTTGAGATTGTTTTCTGCAAAAGGAAATGGGAAGAAGACAGAGATACAGTTATTGAAGGATTAAAACGCTTGGCTGATTATCCTGAATATATGTGGGTAAGTGTTGAGTTCCTCCTCTAGTATCAATTGCTAGAAGTGAAACGGTGATGGAGGTACTCAGTGGTACTGTAGCCAGATGTATCAGGAGAAGATCTGCTCACTGCTTTCTTCAAGTGTTGCCAAGGAAAACCCATGCTCTGAGGTCTTTTGGATGTGCTGGTAAAGTGTTACTCCTTTTTCCTGTTGGTAAGGGAAGTCATTTGGGAAACAGTTCAGAAGATTGCATAGATGTTTAGAAATTTGATGATAACTTATAAATCAGGCCTGTGTAATACTTGTTAATTTTATCTGAATTTATTTTTATGTTTAAAACAAAATAACAGTCCATATTTGACTAGTAAATCTATATGGCTTTAAGCTACATTTTCTGAGGTAGGCTAAAAAAACACGAAAATGAAACCATCTTTCCTGGAGAAGTGGGGGTGATGCGCAGACCATGGATTTTGATAGGAGTTTTGTTAGCATGTTCATTGATCTGTGAAATTACAGGTTTCCCAAAACGTCTTTATGAGAACACATGGCAAGGTTACATCTGCTTTTGCAGTGATGCTTTTCCTTTTTATTTTGACTTATTTGAGTTAAGGATGAAACATCTATGTTTCATTATATGCGATGTTAGCTTTTACTGCAGCTACACAGTGGTATAATCAACCTATTAACTTTTATTTTTGCTTTGAATGAAAACATGTTGATAAATTTACTGGTTTGCTTTTATAGTAGTGCTTGTACAGTTATTTGGCTCATAAAACATTTTAAGATGCTTTTTCTGTTCATTTTAAGTGATTTTTCAATATCCAGTACAGCTTGTTAAAATGAATAGTGAAATAGTAAGCCTAACTAGCACGTTGTGAATGTGTCATTTGTGATCTTTTTCTATCATTACAAAGATATAAAAAAGATACAAAAAAATAACAATCTGGAGGATGTATTTTAAACTACTTAATTGCTTGAATATACAGATATGAACTACATTTAATGTATCCTTCTGATTAGGGCTGAAAAAAGAAGTAAGAACCCAGCCAATTGAAAAATCTTAAGACTGAACTTTAGTTGCAAACCTATACATTTTAATGATTCTGTGATTGAAAACCATGGACAAGTCTCTAGGGAAAGCAACTAGAAAATGTAAATGCAAAATGTTAGTTAGCATTGATTATTTAAATCAAGACTTCCTGCTTGGCAATTTAAATAATGAATAAAATTGGCTTGAGTGGATCAATTTCATCATTTTTGTGCATTCTAAATGCCATAATTAGGGCTGTCTGTGCAGCCTGCATTGGGGAGGTCTTTCTCACACATGCATTGCCGTGCATAATTCTGGACTTCTCTTGCTTATTTGGTCCAAAAGGATCACTGCACTATTGAGTAGAAGAGGGTGAGAACTCGGTATAGAGGAAAGAGCTTGCACTGCAGACTGCAGTTGAGATTGTGGTGTTGCTACCTTGTGCTGTCCTCACCACTTGGTGGTTATTGGTCAGGTTTTCATGAGGAACATGGCCTGAAGGGCCACATGAAGATTGCAGGGCCAGTTCTTGTTCTCTCACTGTGCTTCAGCAGGTCTAGCTCTTTTGTCTATGGCTTCATGGTTCTAATGGTGCAATGGGGGCGATGTCCACTTTTCAGAAAGACCAGGGATAAACAGAAATTCACGCTAGGGCCCTCAGAAGAGCTTTGTTTGACTGCTCTTGGCTTTGCCTTGCTTCTGGTCTCACTCTCAACTAGAGCAGAGGCCATATAAAGGCTGGAGGACAGATGGATATATTCTGCTACTTGAAGTCCGTATGGGAGAGTTTAAGTCTTTAGTAGTTACTCAGGGTACTGCAATCAGAATAGTGTCCCATAAGATGAACAAGGTAAAGATTTTGGAGAAAAGCACCATTTTTCATGAACACAACTAGTACAAATGAAAAAAAAGAAGAGAAAAGCTTTCAAACAAGTCTTGTTTTCAGGTGAGTAATTCTGGTTGTACAGTACAAATTTTAAATGAGGTAGCTAGTGATTAATATGTTTTTTCCTAAAGTGGTCGTGTACTGATATTTGGATTGCTTTTTCTGATTTGTAGAGTAGTCCATCACCAGCCAGCCAAAGCCTTCAGGGATTTTTCTTTTTTTAAGTAAAAGTTTCAGGTATAGCCATATTAAGACTTTTTGTCGCCTTAAATTTGGTACCAGTGTTGTTAAATAAAGTTGTAAATGAGTTGCGAGGTGGTGCTTATGCCTAATAATTGGTGATCAGATGAGACAACTGAAGTGTGTGTGCGTGCATGGGTGTATGTTTATCTTACACAGATTTTCAGTATTCTGCTCAGTTTCTTTTGATCTCAAGATGTCCTTGCTTTTGCCTTTTGTCTCCTTGTACTAGTTTCTCCTGTACTGTGAAGGAACCCGTTTTACAGAGACCAAGCATCGGATCAGTATGGAGGTAGCTGAATCCAAGGGGTTGCCTAAACTGAAATACCACCTGTTGCCCAGAACCAAAGGTTTCACCACTGCTGTCCAGTGTCTCAGGGGAACAGGTACTGGCAAGCTACTACTTGGTCTTTGCAGTAATTGTAACGTGTTGCTTAGTATGTTCTGTGTAGCACAGTGTAGTATACTCTTACTGTTCATTAGATCCATTGCAATTAGTGAGTTGGCAGTGATAAGCATTCAGCATATCAACCATTAATTTCTGATTTGCCACATAACTCTCAGATACCAGTCATAAAAAAAATTTAATCCTTTCATGTATGTCATTGTTGCTTAGTTTGTCAAGTCTGTCTTGTGTTTTGATAACTTACGTGCTAAGGAGATGGGAATGTCAAGTGTGTGATACACATAAATATGACATGAAAACACGAAGTAGCGAAGGGCATTGCTACCTTACATCATTAGTGCAAGGCTTGCACAAGGCTCTTTTGCTTTCTCATGCAAGGATACCAGCAGCGTGGTTGCTAGAATTGCTATAACAGCCATGTTTTCTTTTTTACAACAGTTTCAGCAGTATATGATGTAACACTAAATTTCAGAGGAAACAAGAACCCATCTTTATTAGGAATTCTTTATGGGAAGAAATATGAAGCAGACATGTGTGTAAGGTGAGCATGTAATGATGGAGGTGAGCCCTAAGATGCATGCTTTATCATGTTGATGTGCATTCAGGTTTACAAGAAATGTCCTTTCCTGTTTTAGCGGTGAAAGACTTTGTAGAAAATGGCACTGATTATCCATTGTGCTGAGGTACAGCAGGAACAGTTTTCTCCCTCAGGGGAGGCAGAGTGCTGCAGCCCTAATGGGGAAGGAAGGAAATGTGTTCCAGTTACCAAATACTGCAACGTTTTAACCTTTCAGTTGGGAAGAAGGCTGCAGAGGTGATGGGCAGAGCTGGGATCACTCATTTGAAAATGATCTAATTTTAACTATTTACATTTGCCAGACATATTCCTGATGAGGAAAGTGAGCAGACGGCTTAGCAGCTAGCAAAACGGCTGGTCTCGCCATTGCCACCTGTAATCCTGTACTGATGGCAGATGCGTGTAGCATGTCTAGCTAGATCTGGGGCGCACATGCATGCATCTACCTTTCTGTAATCAGACATAGAAGAGCAGCTGCATTCAATTAAGTATTTTATGGCTTGCTAATAGAGATGCGAGTTGGTTTTATTTATTGGTGAGGTAGTGGGAGGAAAGAAGAGAAATGCAGTTTTCAGTAGTTATCTAGAAGAGGTTTGGATTCAAGATGAGGATGATACTGCCAGGTACAATTACTAATTGTACACCACCAAAGAAACAAACTGCTATGTTCATATAACTTTGAATTAAAATATATTTGTATACTGAGTCAACATGCTCAAAGTCATTTTCTACACTTGAAGTTTTTCTCCATTTTGGAGAGGAAGCAGTGAGAATAAGGAAATTATTTTTATAGTCTTTTTGCTGAAAATTGGATTTGTCCATAATGTGCCAATAGACTCAGTTTATCTCAGACAGAGGAAGCGTGTAAGCTCTGGTTCTTGGCGTATGTGTGCGCAGTTACCTGTGCAGAGATAAGAAACTTAGCTGGCTGCAGAGGATCCGGTCTTTCTCCTGACTGGCTGTAGAGAAAATCAGCTGAATTACCAGATGATATTGCTGTGAGTACCCTCTAGTGGTGATAGCGATACAGTGACAACTTTACTGCAGAGCTTTCAGCGAATTACTTTCTACTGAGTTTTCACTAAGCATTATTTATATGAATTGAGCAGCTCCTCCTGTTAGAGCTAATGAAAGAAAATCTGTAAAATCTGGTGTCTGATTGGTTTATGGGATACAGAAATGATGAGAAATGTATTAGAATATCTTCCCTCAGTGCTGGAGACTTCAAGGCTTTAGTACATACTATGAAAATATATTCCCTGATTGAACAGCAGCAAGTAAGTGGTATCTGGGATCACTGTGTCTAGAGCCCTCCTAGATGTCAGCCTGCTATAAAAGGGCCTTGATACAGTCCAGGTACTGCCAAAATACGCTTGAGCTGTGAGTGAGATGTGTGGCTGCCCTCTAAAAAACAAGCAACCTCTTTCTGAATTGATCCAGGACTAAGATGTATGCCACTGAGAAAGGAGACAATACATTTCTGTGTGTTAGTGGCTTATCTTTGAAAATAAAAGAATGCAGGAAAATGGTTGGCTTTTCACCACTGGAAAGAGGCTCTTACAAGATGCTTGTTTTCACTGAGGTCAGGTAATTTTTGTATGCACCCAGAAGTGCATGCCTCAATCTGTAGGGCTGGAGATGTGAGGAAAGCCAAGTGCAGCAGCTGTAGAAGATGTTTTCCATAGAGTGGTACAGAGTGAATTTTTAACCACCCCTCCATCCATCCAAAATGTGGTTTCACTAACAAAATGTAACAAACAATTATCCTGGGGTTTGCCACTCTTTTGTCTTTTTCCAAGCTCTGGGTGCCTCAGTCTAAGCTCATTGGGAATCAGCTGGTGGCAGCTCCAGTGAAAGAAGAACACTGAATGAGAAAGGGTTGTTTCACTTTGCTCTGAAGTTGGTAGGAACTTACACAGTTTCTTTTGTCTTAGGAACCTGAGGTTTTAGGATGGAGAATCAGGTGTTAAAAAATTTAAGTCTCAGTTCTTTTCTGCTTTTAAGACCCCTGCCATCAGTGACAATACCTGTAGCTTATCCCCATCATTGAATAGAAGATCTTCCCTAGTAGAGATGAAAAGTCAAATACCTAGATTTTCCCTTAATTCCTTTTTTCTTTTTTTTTTTCTTTTTTAATCTCTCTACTAAACTAGGAGGTTTCCTCTAGAAGATATCCCTCAAGATGAAAAGGAAGCTGCAAACTGGCTTCATAAGCTTTACCAGGAAAAGGTAAACAGCTTTGCTTTTTCTTCTCTTTTGGGAGTTTCATGAGGTAGTGTATTAAGGCACTGAGTAATGCACACTGTTGCACTGTATGGAGAGAAGAGATGGAAATACTCTGTGTAATTAGGCAGCCATCCCTCAAACTGCTGGAAGGAGCAGTACAGACGAGTCCCTTGGCCACAGAAGGCTGGCTGGTGAGTAGGTATCAAATTGCCAGGAAGCACAATGGGATTCAGAGATATGCCTGAGTTGCAGAAGACTAATAGCAATCCACTGTCTTTTTATATTCTCCAGCTCTTGGGTCTCTGTCATACATTTGTAAAAGCTTCATTCTCCCTGTGGGTGTTTTTAGATACTTAAGAAGAGTGATAGCTGTCTATCAGGGACAGGCGGTCTCGGCTCTTAGTTGCAATTGTCCTTTGCTTTCATGTTTTTTCCGTTGTTTCTTTCCTTCTGCCTCCTGTTAACGCCTCTGTAGTGGTGTGTGACATGGTATGGACAGTCCCTGGCTTCTGCTGACAGGGACTGGTGTAGCACATAGCCAGCATGCGTTCAAACAGCCAAAAGCTTTTCTTCATCCCTTTCCTTTCCCTTGTAGTTAATTTCTTGACAGATTTAACAGTTCTGTGGGGAGGAGGAGTGAACTGTAATTCATGTTGCCCAGCCCTGATTGGTGGATTGTTGAACTTGAAATGTGTATCTTGATTTTTGTGTTGCCTGTCTTTGTGGAAAAAAAAGAGGAGCACGGAAGCTTTAACTATCTTGGGCTTCCTTCTGCTGTGATGACCTGTGCTGCAGCATTTCCAAGCTCATATTTAGTGTGTAGGTAGGCAGCAGATTGTTCTGAGTTTCACTTTGTTCATTTCAACCTAATTTGTTTAAATATCTATGCTTTAATTAAGAGGAGAGAAATTATCTCACAAAGAGTAGCTATCATCTCACCACCTCCCATTAGCAGGCATATCAAACTAGTTTGTAGGTTTCTGATGTTGCTGGGCTGGAACATTAAGGTGTATGTTACAGAGGTGGCCTTCCTCTGCCTGGCTCCTGCTTTGTAATCAGTAAATGCAGAGCACTAAATGCAGATGTGGCACAGAGCATTCACTCCTCTTGGTGCTATTGCTTAGGCAGAATGCTCTGCTTTGCTTCCAGATGGAGGGCTTTGTGTTCTTGCTGGTGTTGACTGTACTTCTGCTCAACTTTGGTGTGAGCTGTTGCTGTGGAGATGTTACTTATATATGTGGATATTTATATGTTGATCTTACGGTGGTACCAACATGTTGTAACTGGAATTCTTGAAATACTCTTCCTGCACAGAGGGTCTGTCCTCAAAACAGATGTGTTATTGGCAAGGAACACCTTGTGCTTCTTAGGCCTTTTAAGGGATGCTAAAAAGTAGAACAGCTTAAGTGGGAAAAAAAGAGAAATAGTCAAACTCGAGCCACCCTTAATAACGGCTTGGAAACTTTACCGAACATTCTTACAAACTGAGGGAAGACTGTGGGCACTCTGCTCCTCTGAGTGATGCATTTCATGATTGCATCTCTCCGCAGGCTCAGCTCAGTATGCAGCTGCTCTGTTGAAGACTTCGGGTTATGGCTAGCACAGTGTTGTCTCTGCTGGTTAGCTTGTGCTTTGTCTCCTGCTGTACATACAGCACTTTGCTGTGCTTTGCTAACCTTTCTGGAAGTAAAAACAGGAAGAAAAAGCACTCAGCAAATAGGCAGGTAGTGTCTGAATTAGCCTCTGGCCTGACACTGCCCTAAATTCCCCTGCAATTAAGAGAAGAGATGAAGGTTTTGTAATGGAGAGGCTGATACAATGTCAGTTTCTGATGGTGGCTAAGATTGCCTTCAGAGAGCTTATACAGTGGCCTCAGCGATCAGCGGAAATGCCCAAATAAATGACAGCAGATGGAAATGGATGCTGTGTACTCTGTATGGGTATTTACCACAGATACTGTCCTTGATGTTGTCCTACAGTGGACTAGTCTTGGATCACTTGGTGTGCAAACATTACAAACCTGTTTTCTCCTATCTTCTCTTTGTTCCAGGATGCTTTGCAAGAGATGTATAATCAGGAAGGCATATTTCCTGGCCAGCAGTTTAAACCTCGTAGGAGACCATGGACGCTCCTAAACTTTCTTTTTTGGGCCACAGTTCTTCTCTCTCCTCTCTTCACATTTGGCTTCGGAGTTTTTGCAAGTGGATCACCTCTCCTCATCCTTGCATTCCTGGGATTTGTTGGAGCAGGTAATAAAAGCAGAGACAAAACTAAGCCCAGAGTGACACGTAACAGGATCCATTACCTCCAATAAGTTCTGTGTATTAATTAATCTGGATGGGGCTTGCAGATGAGTATTTGGCACTCACTCTGTAGTCTTTATATTGTATAGCATTTTTATTATTTCGAACGCTTTAATCCAGGCAGGCTTGCCTTCATATCTTGGGCAATATCTACAGCAATCAATAGCAAGTGAGTCTTACAGCCCATTATTACGGTTCCTGAAGGAGGAAATACTTTTAATGGATACCTTGCCTGTGAATGAAAAACCCCCACAACCAACCAACAAAACAAACAAACAAACAAAAGCAAGAAACAGAAAAAAAAAAACAAACTCTCCCCAACAAAAAACCCTAAGGAAAAAAAAACAAGCCCATAACCAAATACCAAAACCAAATGGGGGCTGGGGAAGGGAATATACCTCAGTGTTCACACTACATGTTCTGTTAATCAACATAGAAGCATTAATTATATTTTTAAATATAGATTGTCCTCCTCTTCTAGTGATGCCTGACCTGTGATCCATATGCAGCCTCATACAACGCACTGTTGGTCTGTAGTCAGCTACTGTCTTCAGGATTAGGTTAACTCATGTTGGTTATGCCTGTGTGTTTGTTACTTCCTGAATCCTTGAACTGGTTTTAATACGCTCCCTATTTCTCTGTTATATTTTAAAGCTTCCTTTGGAGTTCGTAGACTGATAGGAGTAACCGAAATAGAAAAAGGCTCCAGCTATGGCAACCAGGAATTCAAGAAAAAGAAATAACTGACAGCTGCAGTTCAGCACATATAACCAGACTATGGTGTCCAATTAACTTCAGTTAAAAAAAACAATGAACACTTAGAAACTGTATTTTCTTAATAACTGATGACTAATATTAATGAATAAAACTTGAGCCAAGAATGAAGAAGTTGGAGGCATCAACTGAAGAGAACGCATCAACTTTCTGCCTGTTTAAGGATTACTGTAGTCAAACTGTGGGAGAAAATCTGGGGTGGGATGAAAGAAGCAGCTAATTTTTCTTGCTTTGTTAGGGGACTTGGGAGTGGGGGAAGAAAAGAGGGCATTGGCCGTGGCCACATGCATCTTCAGATGACTGAATACACTCGTTTCTGTCAAGAGCACTACACTTACTTTTACAACAGGAGCCATTGAATGTTTCCTCTTGCTAAAGCCAACATGTTTGTTGATTTCCAACTTTTTTTTATTAATGAGCCAGGAAAATCAACCCTTCTTAAATTAATTGCAGATGTTTATTTGGTTAGAGTAATTCTGGAAAGGCTGTGTTGTCATGGCTGCAGATGAAATCCTATTTGTCTGTTACAATGATACTTTTTATTTTTAGGCAACATCTTAAAACTTCTTTAATGTGAGGGAATGGGTAGTGGAGTTTGGAAGCAGTGCGTTATTGATCAGCACATCCCGTAAAACAGATCCACTAGTATTAAAACAGTTTAAAATTCTCATCATACCTCCTGCTAATTGCTCAAGGCTGTTTAATTTCAAAGTATTACTTCAGTCTCGAGTGTTGTTTCCCTGTTTCACATCCTACATGTATGATGATCTTGTTTCTCTTTAAGGGCTTGTTATGTTTTCTGAATTAATGGTGACTGAGGAATTTAGAGTTGTGTGAAGAAGGAAATTAATTCGGTTTTTCTGATGTTTTCTCCTATTATTTCTATTTGAATCTCTTATTGCCAAAGTCCATTTCAGCCAACCTCTCTCAGTAAACTGGGAAGCAGCAGCAGAAATCAGCACAATAGTTTTCAAAATGTCGTCTTTTACAAAAATCTGAAAAGGAGAGAGGTCTATAGCAATCAGATTTCAAATACTGTCATTTCTTGAACTTTTAATGAGAGTTTTGACATTGATTCAGATGGGGCCAGGTTCTTACTGGCCTTGTGTACTGCAGTGATAGGGTGTGCTGCATTTTCTACTTGGACATGCTTTAGATGTTAGTCTGAAGTATATTGCAAGGTGAGCTGTGCTGTTTAGAAAGAGTATAGGGTCTCTTCAGGGATTTTAAATATCTTTAGTTTTGCTTGTTGACTTTTGACACTGAAAATTAGAGATTAGAATCATGCTGTACCTGTGCTTTTTTCCGGACACACATTCTGAGATTTTTGTAGATTGCTGCTGTATGGGTAGCAAACAGATGTGTTATCTAACCGGTGTACCTGTATACTCAAGTCTGAAGGCCACAATCTGCATTTGGCTATGCTCAGAAGTTGGTGAAGTGGGTTGCAGATCTAAAGCTGAGGGCAGAAGCTGACTCTCGGGGTCTGTATTTTTAACCCAGCTGCCACTACTTATCTGACTTTTGTAAAGAGCAGATCTTATCAAAGCAGTGGTCATTATTTTCATCTTTGCTCTAGTAGCCAAGATAAGAGAGTAATAATTTACCTTCTTTTCATATTTACTGTAACTGTTGGAATGTAACCTCTTACCCCACAGGTTTTTCTGTTTTCAAACACTGGAAAAGCAATTTTGTAACTTAGAAAAATATTTTACTTGGGGTCATTAATCAGTGTTCTGTCAGGCACTTGATTTTTATTTGTGGTCTTTTCAACAAGAGGTTTTGAAAGATGACCTACTTTGTCTGTATCCTATTAGACTCATCCTCACTGAATCACTGTACCTGTAGCCCCAGCATTCATATGTCATCTTTGTCCCCTCAATAAATCTTTACTAAGATAGGGATGCAAAACTGTTGTTAATCTTAGTGGAATTTGGAATATGCTTTTGAAATTGAGGAGAACAGAGCTTAGCCAGGACTCTGTTTTCCTTGCTGAATGTTTGTGTAATTTGTCTTTAAATACGGTTAGACTTCCAAATGCTGATGAAGATAACTCTGATTTTTCCCCTGTGTTTTAACCAGAGGACTAAAAGCAGTGGGCTTTTTGTTCTTTTCTTTAGTCTTTCATTTCTTTTTCCTTAAGTAATTCAGTAATGGATATAATTCCTGCTGCTTAGAGAGGTTACAAATGCTGTACACTTGCTTCCTGAAGATGATACTGAGTTTATATAAATTGTACTGGCTTAGCAGAGTGAGTCTTGCAAAGCAGTCTGACCACTGACATGTTTTATACTTACATTTTGAGCAGTATATTAATGGGCATGAAAAGAATTTCACAAAATAAATCCCCTCTTAATACTGAGAAGAGGGGAGATGGTTAAAGGAGAGGGGAATTAATAACCTTTCTCTTTACGGGATTCTTTTCTCCTCTTAGTGCATGTAGCTCCCTATTCTGAATCATGGGATTAGTGCATGTACATCAAGGGGAGAATAATCAAGATTTCATATTTTCTTATGATAACTTATTGGTCATGCTTTCTTTTTGAAAATATAATACATCATCACTTACTTAACTTTTGCTCTTCTAAACAGACATATCAGTACTCATTTTGAAAACTGAAATATATAGCAATGCACAAAACAGTACAAAACCAACACAAGTCTCTTCATTTTGAATTTTATCTCTTCAATAGGGGTTTTTTATACACATGCACGTGCACATGTACACAGAGTATGTATAAATTAAAATGACTGGAAATAGCTGAAATTAATGTCACTAATGAAGATTAGCAGGTGGCTTGGATTGGAAAAATGAGCATAGATTTTATATCTTATTTTCTTCTGGTTTAATAGAACATAGCTTGTATATTTGACTACCAAGCCCTTTAAGAGCAATAATAAACAAAAATATATCATGTTTTTCGTCTTTTGCTTTTCAACCACACTAGGTTTAATAAACTTAAAGCTATGGGAGCATTTTCTCTCTCCACTCTTGAAAACTTTCACTTACTTTTTCATTGTTTAGACTAAATACCATATTCTCCAGTATGGACTTGCAAGCTGACTGCCATGGAGTTCAGCATTGACTCCGAAGATGAATGGTTCTCCGACTGATATGGACAGATGCTAAACTCTATGCCTTGACAGCATTTGACATTGTCATAAAGAACGATCATGTTGCTCTCGTCAGCAGTTCCAAGGTAGCATCACGTTGACCTACATCTAACCTGGTGGGAGAGCTTGGAGACTGCTGGAGTAGTGGCATCTCTCACTTTGGAAGGCACGAAAAGCTGATGCTGAAGAAGGACTGGATAATTGTTATCCAGAGGTCTTGGCTCAGTAGGAATTACAGTTCTCTGTTGCCCGTTGTGGGCTGAATGTGATCTTGCAAATGACTTCGGCACAAAAAGCATGGGCAACATTCCTTCGTTCTGCTTTAAGTTATCTTGAAGGGCTCTACACTTGCTTGTTGACCAATGAATATAGCTACTACCTTTGTCCTAATTGCCTAGTATTCACAGAAAAAGTCAGCGTGTCTGCTCACTTCCACATGATACCACTTGTCTCAGTCATGGATGTCTGTATTTGCTCACCTGTGTTTTCTGCAGATGGTACGGTTACAACCTCTTAGCTGGAACTTTGAGCTTTCCAGTTCAGCCAACCCTGTAGAAACTGTCTCACATAGCTGGGGTTTTGTCTTCCTGCATTTTGCCCTGGTTGACGTGCTCAGTAGGTCTGTAGTGACACAGTTTGTGTTAAGCGATAATGCAACTTTGCTGCTTCAGAGCCAAACTTTCATTAGGGAAGGTAAGGCCTTCCCAGGCCTGCTCACATAGGCCATCACTACCCGGTAACAGGTCCCTCTGGCATTGATGAAACCAACAGAAGGGAGCTGGAACAAGGTCTTTACTAACACTTGGAGTAATTAGCAAGGAGGGCTCACTGTACATCTGATAATTTCTAAAGGTGGTGTTCCTGTCTGGGACTACCCCAAAAAACTGGTTTTGCTTTGTGTACATTTTGATTAAAGAAATGTGGGGTTGGAGGCTTTTAATTGAAGGCAGATAATATTCACATATTTTGGCATCTTGGAGAAGTATGTGCTAAGAAGTCTATGGCCAAAATTGGACAGATCTCACCCAAGTGTTTCATTCAGATGCTGGAGACCAATGCAGATAAAAGTGAAAAATCCATTCCTAGATTTCCTTTGAAAATTGGATGTGGTGGTGTAGCTCACAGCGTCTCCTGGATACACTTTAAGTCACTTGGTGTGAAGTCATCTGCTGCAAGCCAGGAACTACTACACATTCTGATTTATTCCTGGGGAAAGAAGCCCATCCCCATAATGGCAATGCTGAATTTATACATTGGCCAGGTTCTTCACAGCTACTTGTTTCCACAACTCTGAATGTTCTGGTCCATAATGGGCTGCCAGCACTGAGTGAAGCCAGGATTTGAAGCAGGTGGCAGCAGGTGAGAGCTGCAAGGCTCATTGCTGAAGGCAGCAGGGACACCAACAGGTCTGGCCAAATTCTTGCCCTGAGAAAATGGAGCCATTGCCAAGAGTTTTGCAAACCAGAGAGAAGCATGTATGTGGGCAGCAAACTGACTCCAATATGAATGTGAAACTTCCCTGTGACAACTTAAAAGGTAACCCTTAAAATACTCATGTGATCAGGGTTGGAATTTGTTTCAAGGGCTTGTTACAGATGGCAACTCTTGTTCTTGCCACACTTCCCCCTATTTAGCTTGAAGACTAGCTTGATTGTTTCCGCAATCTCTGCATCAAGGTCCTTGCAGATTGTTGGTTGTGTATTTTTTACCTGCTGTGGTTTTGAGGGAGAACTTTCTGGAAGTCAGTGTTAGAGAGTCCGCACCCCATTTGGTGGCCACCAGCAAATGTCATCAAAATATTTCATACTTTGCAATTGGGAAGACAGTGGATTGGCATCTGTAAGACAAACATGTCACGTCTCTTATCCTGTGCCCCTCTGGGTCTATGGAAAGCTGCCTGTATTTCTTAAAATGTTCTACCTGTAGTTACAAGCCAGTCTTGGGACTTTGAAACTGTGAAGAAAGTTAATTTGTGCACGCTCACTGTTCAGAGTACTTGAGTGCAACTGATTGTCATTTCTGAAAAGCTTTACATTAGCAGAAGCAGCATTTTATCTTTTTAAAAGGAAATGTATTTTTAAAATAGACACTTTACCAGAAACCAGACTTTAATGGTTCTATAACCTAAATTGGAAGTATTCTTTAGTATGGGGACTACCACTACCAGTGTGTAGTCTTACACATTTTATTTCTTTTTTCATTTTGACCAGTGTGCATTTTCAAGGAAAACACACAGCTTTACCAGTCACACTAAAACCTAATTTACAGAGGGAGGAAGAGTGGGCACTAGAGGCTAATCAGAAATTAATTACTTTTTCCCCAAGGGGTGAACTGGTTCTAGAGGCCTCCTTTGTTTATGTGCATGTGCATCTGTGCAGAGAGCCAAGCAGCGTCCCCTCGTGTTATTTTGCTTCAGCTTTGCCAGAGCTGTACCTTATGACAAGGGAATGCTGCTGCCTGAATGCCAGGCAGCCACCGTCAGCTGACGTGTCGCTTGCTCCTAAAGATCACCAGCAGTAATGTAGCTTTAATGAAAACCTTCTCTCCGAGAAAACTCGCCCTCCTTAACCTGACTGATTTGTTACAAACCTGTCAAACGTAGCCAAATCTAATGCGTAATAACACTGTACACAGGGTATGCATTTACTGGGCATGTGTATATATTTTTGTACGTTTTTACGATTATTTCCTACACTTGATTTTGTGATGTTCAGAAGAGATGCATCTGAATCTGGTTAAAAACAAGAAGCTATTCAGAAAAACCCAAACCTGTCACCTACTGTAGTTTCTACTAAGATCTGTGCCCAAACAAATACGCAGATTTATAGTGCTATGCAAATACTACTTTGTAAGTTGTCTCTTAAATTTTGCTGAAGTAGTTCACGCTGTTTTTACTGGGCTTTCAGAGAACGATTAATGCAAAAGACTCACCTTGTGAAATAAAATAGCTTTGGCTGTGTGAAAGTGCTGTATATTAGAATCTCATTCACGCTTTCAGTTGCTCATTTTAACTGTATTGGATTTTGTATGTAATATGCTGGCATAGAGGGTTTTTTAATGGTGCCTGAATAAGAAAGGGTGACTGCCCAGCATCTGGGTGTTTTGCACTGTTACCAATTATGTGCTGTAACTGGGAGATCTGCATCCTTTTCCTGTTTGACATTCTGGTCTTTGTAACTAAACATGCACTAAGGGCTGTTGTCTTTTTGCTTTTGTTTCCATTTATGCTTTTTGGTCTGTCCTGCAAACTGATCTGTGTGAGGGGCACACCTGCAGCAATAATCTGGATGGGCTGTTCTGTGGGGGCTGCAAGTAAAGAACAAGCTGAACCCCATGTCCATTCCCAGTCATTGAGCCACTTACTGAGAGCTGCAGAGGGATGGTACGTTGCCATACCGTTTGTAGAAGTTTCACATAGCTCCTCCAAATGACCGTGGATGGTGGGGAGGGATGTTCCTTTCTGGAAGAGTCCTCTGAAGTAAACCCAAAGCTGTATGGTCTGAAATGTTGAGACTCCAGCAGGGTAAGCTGGTTGTATGGGTTATTAAACTGTAGATTAAACCACTTTTCAAAATCTGACATCTTTTAAGCTTCTGTTATTCACTGGAAGATGAACACCTTGCCCCTTCCTCAGCTGTATGCCAACATCATGCACTCCTACCTACTAGAGCAAAACAAGACATACTGGAAGTTCATTTAGCATTTTTGCTCCCTTCCCCATACCTTTATGAGAAGGCTGCCCAGCAGAAGTGGATCTCTACAGTTCCTACCCCTAGTATAACCCTGGCCTGCCTCTGTGCCTGCTTGGTCCCCTAAGACATCAGCTCTGCTTTGGGACGTTTGTGCCTGTAACAAGTGACGGACATGTGATAACACTATGTTCCTGTCATCTTTTTGCTAGAGTGCAAGCACTGAGTTCTTAGTTTCTCCTGTAGGTTTTTCTGTGATCCTTTGCTCCTTTGAATATTCCATGTTGTGCTGAAGCACCTTAAAGACCTTTTTGTGGGGAGGGTGGGCTCCAATTTCAAGAGTATGCACGCAGAAGGTTCCTTTCTGTGACTTTGCACAAACACGGCTTTTCTTCTCCCTATGCCACCGCTGAGACTCCTCAGACTCACTTCATTTTTAAAGGATGAAGATTTTGACCTGGAATTTTTAATGCTTTGTTCCAGGACTACTATTTAAGCTTTAAAGTGAGAAATATGAGTCAAAGTTTTTACTAGTACAGAATATGAAGAATTAATTTTATTAAGATGGTATGATCCTTAGTACATGCATGCAGAAGCCAAGCCATGAAAAGCAAAGCCACAGCTGGTGCTGGAGCAATGTGCTGTCTTGCCATGCACTGCTAAAAAAACATCACTGTTGTCAGTTCTTGTCCCCAGAAGTACCTATTTTCTCTCACTGCCTATCCACTCTGCCCTTCTGCAAGTCCTCTTTCCTGAGCTGCTTTGTCTTGGTGAACCAGCCAGTGATAGACATCACAACCCCACATACTGGAGGAGCAGAAGCGGTCATCAGTAGGAGGTAGAGGCAAGGGTAGGTGAACGGGGCAGCATGTCACCACAGTATTTGATGGCCAGCACTGTGAGGTAGCTGTGGAAATGAAAATGCTTGCCAGCTGGATGAAGGTGCAAGGAATGTTGTTGGGTGGTTGGTTTCTGTACAAAGCAATCCATATAGCTGTGACCTTTAAGTTGTGGGAGCTTCTTATACAACTTCTCTTTAAACTGCAGACACAGTAGGAAGTTCACTGTGGTGGTGGTGGCACTTTGTAGGGGTAGCTCTTCTGGATTCCTTAAT